GGAATGGTATCTATTGGTATGGAATTTATCTCCGTCTCTAAGGGCGCCCTCTATTTCCACCAGTAATGAGGTGAAGGCTATTCTAGACCACAGACGTGTATAATAAAATCTGGACTCGCAATGCCCTTAATCAGCTTATAGAGTCATTGAATCCACTCGCAGCCATTTTACCGAGCCGAATACAAAGTTTTCCTGGTAATTCCCGCCTTTGTTCTTCCTGACGTCAATAGTAGGGAGCCAACCCACGCCTTTGTATTCGGCTCGGTAAAATGGCCGCTGGTTGGCTTCTTTTTCATACAAAGGTGTTGCAAGTCCAGGTTTTTTTTATATACGTCCGTGTTCTAGACACGATGCGACAGTACGACGCAATGGCACAATGGCACGACGCGACGCCACGACGGCACGACGTAATGTAGTGAGCTAGGGATCCAGGACAAGTTCATTACTTACGTTACTTGATCACTCTTTCAAATTAGACCACGTCACAAACTTGGAAAAAGTCGGACCACAAATTTATAGAATGAACCTTTTACAAACTTCATCTACAAAACGGATGTACGTTGTGAAAAATACCAGTTGCGTCGGAATAACTTCACACCATTTGAAAAATAATTTATGAAACCAGGGACTTGACTGAAAAAAATTTATATAGGTGCTGCTGTTCCATCTCCGACAAAGAAATAGTTTTGGAAAATTTACATTTAAACCATCAGTGGTCAGCATATGTATTTCAATCTGAAAAAGTGAAATTCTCAAAAATAGGATTACCAGGGGCATCGATCACAGTGTGTACCGAATGGAATGCGATTTTTATGCACACATGCACCAATGCAAAAAAAAATGAAGGGAAATGGCATACTTTTTCATTTCCATGCTATGTACACAAATTAATATCGACTTTACCAATTGTTGACGTTTTGATTTGACAAAGCAAACAACTGGAGCTGTGGGCCTTACGAGATACTGTATAAAACTGGAGAAATATGTTCATTATTCTATTTGACCTGGAATCGAGAGCCGTCTGTCTGCACGGCTGTCTGGCAAACATCAACAGAATGGCTATTTTTCCGATCACAATGTACTTCGAGCTCATTTTTCAGAGTATCCGGGTGCAATAATGTTTACCGGTAACTCAAGTATTGTGGTTTGCTGGCATTATGCCAAGAGAAATATCGCTCAGTTATGGAGAAGAGTATAAAGGTGCTAGATTTTCAGCCTGGGGGAAAAACAGTAGGCGTGCCCAATAGAAACATGGGCTTATAGACGAGAAAACAGCCGTGTGTACCGTACAGTCCAATGTACGAAATGCCCTGTGTCATCTTCTGTAACTACCTTTAAACATATTTCTTGTTTTCTTTCTGCTTGTTTGAAGAAAATAGCTCAGAGCTAGTTATCCAGAATACATTTCATGTAGAATTTTCAATTTTTGTTGGATTTTTCAATGACATATCTATCGTGTCTCTCTTTAAAGAGGGCTTGAAAAACGCCCTTTGTCATAGCCTTGCTTTCATAGACCCAAATATAAAACTAGCTCGTACGTGCATGTGAGTGTAGTTTTTAAGAGGTATGGCCATGGATAGATCGTCGATGAGCGTACTGCTGATTCTGTGCGCCTGTTGGTGCGCCCACCAAGTTGGGGCTCAGTTTTCACTGTCAACTGCGATAATTATTACGGCCGAAGCTTCATCTACCGAGGAACCACTACAAACCTCCAGTTCCTCGGCTGAGCCCGGTGGAACATCCCCACTGACGACAGAAGGCCCCGGAGTGACAGCCCAGGCTGACGATTCAACTACCGAGGAACTACTACAAACCTCCAGTTCCTCGGCTGAGCCCGATGGGACATCCCCACTGACTACAGAAGGCCCCGGAGTGACAGCCCAGGCTGACGATTCAACTACCGAGGAACTACTACAAACCTCCAGTTCCTCGGCTGAGCCCGATGGGACATCCCCACTGACTACAGAAGGCCCCGGAAACAAGTCAGTCCTCGGAGTGATAACCCAGGCTGACGATTTATCTACCGAGGAACTACTACAAACCTCCAGTTCCTCGGCTGAGCCCGATGGGACATCCCCACTGACGACAGAAGGCCCCGGAAACAAGTTAGTCCTCGGAGTGATAACCCAGGCTGACGATTTATCTACCGAGGAACTACTACAAACCTCCAGTTCCTCGGCTGAGCCCGATGGGACATCCCCACTGACGACTGAAGGCCCCGGAAACAAGACAGTCCCCGGAGTGATAACCCAGGCTGACGTTTCATCCACCGAGGAACCACTACAAACCTCCAGTTCCTCGGCTGAGCCCGGTAGAACATCCCCACTGATGACCTGCGGCCCCGAACAACCTCCCGTCGCCTGGATCGCTGTCGCTGTGGTCGTCTTCATCCTTTTCATAGTCTCAATGCTCTTCAATGTTTTCTTTATCATCACGCGTTGCCGTCAGGGGAGCTCCAAGACCGATGATCCGTCCCCACCTGACATCGAGTTGCAACAACCGGGAAAGGATGAAGACGGCTATATGACACCCATAGTGGAAGACAGGACAGATGAGGCCGTCTACCAAACAGTCTTAGAAACTAAAGAAGATGAGCAAAAATACGTCGTGACGGAAGAGGAGTATACTGCTCTCGTGGCAGACGAGGAATATACTGATGTCGTGGTGGACAAGGACACTGGCCAAAAAGATGGCAAAACGACCCAAGACGAGCAAGACTATCAGAACGTCAAAAGTAAGAACTAAAATAGTTGGGTTCCCTTAAATTGGGCGTCGGAATGTGATTCAAATGTCACTCGCATGTTTCTCGCATGTCCGCGGGTGAGGCTTTTCCTTACCCAAATGGTTACGATGCAGACGGTGAACAAAATAATCACGTTGCAAACCTTTTGCTATATTGTGCGATTAAATACATGAATACAGTCCGTTGCCATCATCAGTCATGGGGGGGGGAGGCAGAACCAGCCAGCGGGCATATCTCAAGAACCATACATGGGGACTTCATAATGATGTTTGAAAATTTTGTAATGGAAGGGCAGCTGTTAGCTGGAGGGCGGCCCTCCATTTCAGACAGCCTTGTTGGGAATATCTAAAATCTGTCTTGACTCCTTCTCAAAGGCTCGGTTTGTAAATTCGCACCAGCCTTTCAAGTTCAGCCCTCAGTAGCTATTCAACTTTCAACTGTGGTTAAGGAGACGGATTGAAATGAATCGATTGGATTTTATTACACAGAGGCTTAGTATGCCAACCATTTCATTTTTAAGACTTATTTTGACTGGG